CCTCTGTTTCAAGAACTGGGAGGCAGCAGCCAATATCGTATAAGCAAGAGCACAGAAAGGCGAAGAAATGAAGAGGAGAAATAAAGCTGACAAGCAATGATAGTAGAATAAATTGCAGGGGAAGGAAAATGAGGAAACTGTACGACACAATGAAAAAGCTCGCAGGAAAACATCGTAAATCAGATTGACCAGTGAGAAACAAAGAGAACAAAGCAGTGACCGATATTGAAGAACAGCGACACGTGCGGATAGAGCACTTCAAGGAACTACTGAATCGACAGCCCCCAGTGAACCCACTCAACACTGAAACAGCATCTACAGAACTCCCAATCGATGTTGACCTACCAAAAATAGAAGATATCAGCATGGTCATCAGACAAATCAAGAACTGCAACTCAGCAAGATCAGGCAACATTCCAGCAGAGGCACTGAAAGCAGACATAGCCACAACTGCGAAGACTTTCCACACTCCCCTCAGCAAGATTCGGGCGTAAGAATATGCATCAACAGACTGGGAAGAAGGACGCCTCATCAGAATCCCATGAAAGGAAATCTTAGAAAGCTTTCGAACGACAGAGGCATTACTCTTCTCTCTTTGCCAGGAAAAGTCTTCAACAGAGAATTGTTAAATCTAGATCAGCATCTTGGACTCCGTAAGGATCGGTCATGAACCGACCAAATCAGGTTTGACACTAACGATGATCGATGAACAGTCGATTGAATGGAATTCACCACTGTTCATCAATGCCTTTGTATGGAAGATCGCAATCGACAGAGTGGACAGGATGCCGTTATGGCAGCTTCTACAACACTACGGTGTACGTAAGAATATAATCAACATCATACTGCATTCTTATAACGGATTGAACTGTAAGATCATACATAGAGGTCAGCTCATAGGTTCATCCCAAGTGAAGACCGGCATCAGCCAGTGTTGCTAACTCTCTCCTTTCCTCTTTCTTTCTGATGGTCGACTGGATTGTGAAGACGTTAAAATCTGAGGTGAAGCATGGATTACATCTCGGATGCATCTGGACGACCTGGACTTCGCTGGTGATCAAGCTCTTCTATTTTCAAAAACAGCAACAAATGCAAAAGGAGAAAACCAGTGCAGCAGCGGCCGTAGCAGAATCGCGTCTCAACATACGGAAGGGATAAAGCAAGAACCTTCAATACAACGCAACATGCACCAACGATCATCTCCATCACACTTCGTGGAGAAGTTCTGAGCAAGGTGGATCTGATGCAGATGTCATGACATGAATTGGTAAAACAAAGCCAGCATTTCTACAACCGACGATCATCTGGAACTCAAAACAACTATCAACCAACATCAAAGTCACAATTTTCAATTCAAAAAACAACACAGTTCTAATGTATGGAGTGGAAACTTAGAGAATTATGAAAACCATTATCCACAAGATACAGGTGTGAGAAACTCTTCATATATTATTCAAACACCATCAACCACAATCTATTGTTGAGGAGAACAAAACAGATTGCAGTTGAAGAAGAAATGGGAAAAAGTTGGTAGAGGTGAATAGGACAAACTGCGGAAGGCACCCAACTACGCCGCAAGACAAGCCTCCACTCGGAACACTCAAAGCCAAGGAAAAGAGGGAAAACAAAGAATATACTTGGCCGAGAAGTGAAGAGAGACATGTGAAGGTTGAACAGTAATTGGACAAAACTAAAAAGGAAGGCTCAGTACAGAGTTGGTTGGGGAATACTGTCGTAGTTAATTGAAAAAAGAATTGAACGAACTCTGATGATGTAACGAAGGTAAGGAAAGATTAACAACGATTAGGTTTCAAGTTCCTTATAGTAACGGCTTTGGCAAATTTCAGAAGATTGGAGTTTGGTTGTCTATTTATCACCCTGAAGAACTGTAGGGTATCAGTTTTATATCCTGTATCCAAGAGACGTTTACTGACTGAAATATCAGATTGATATCTTGCAATCTTTCAAAATGATTAATAAACATCCTAGCTTTATTTAATCTTATGGAGTTTATTGATGCCGTTACTATCACGCACCAGAAACCACTAATAATGTAAACAGTTTCAGCATGTCTAGTTTTATTTATTATTTAAAAAGATCCCAGTAAATATAATTAGCTTGAAAATTTACTGGTTTGTCAAATTTAACGAAAGAGATTATCGTTGTACATCATATGAGTACATAATTTGATCTTCCTTTATGGAGAGACAGATTATCGACCAACTAAGTGAGCAAACATGTGCCTAGATAGTAGCAAGGCTTTTCAGTACATCTGGTTTAAATTACCTTCAGTAGGTTTAGAAGAAAAGAATCTTGAGTTATTCAAACTGTCTCTGAGTTGTTGTGAAACGATTAAGTATTAAGAAATAAGAAGGTATCAATCTAGAAGGTACTGACTTATGTAAAAATTTCTAGAATAAAGTAGAGAAAATTGTAGTTTTCGGATTGAAAAGCTTAGATAAAGTGTACCAAAGTGTACGAAATTTGTATACTACTTTTTTTTTGTAAATACGAGATTAATGACTTGCCATACTTTCGACTTTTTTTAGTTACTTTTTTTCTCGTTTCGTAGACACCATTTTGCAAATGCTCTTACTACAACCATTTTTTCTCTTATTGTGAGGATGTTAAGAAAAATACACTTAGATCAAGTTTACCGCATTCCATGAGTAACTTAATGAATAAAAATATATCGGTGTTCTAAAAAAAAATTTCTTGCTTTTACAAAGAAAATAAATAACTAACAATATCCTCCGTTTTAAAACTAAGGTTACTAAATACCAACGATACACTTTTGAATATAATCATTTTAGTTTTATTCAGCTTTTATCAGAAAGAAGTCAGAATTTCTTAGTAATCATTCAAATTCAGTATTTTGTATGCATCTGCTCTTATCAGTAATATGCTAAAGTGGTATAGAAACAGGTTTAAAGAACATTTTTGAAGCTACAGGAAACTATAATTCTTCTGAGGATTTTTTTACACGACAGTTATTAAAGATTGTAAGAAATTCCCTTCATCGTCCTCAAATCATTGAAAATTGAATACAAAGTTTATGTGATACCGATTGATCCAAACTAGCGATCGGTTTAGCAACTTCACTGATAACCTTCTTTCAACTTTAGGACCTACATATAATTTTCCGAAAATTTTTTTGCCAATATTAACAACGTGTTCAAATAAAATAGGTAATTATAGTTTATTAAATAGAGTATATGAATTATTTTAACTCATAAGTAATTCATGGTGATTGAGTACACAAAACTGTAGATAATTTTTTATCATGGTATACTATTCTGTGAGTATGAAAAATGTTATTCAGTAACTTATCGGAGTCAGGAATGATTGAACGTAGAAACGGTTTTTATTCAATCTTATTTTAGGTTCCACAGTTATAAGTAAACTTTAGGTTACATTAGAGGGTGTTAGTAATTGTTAAATATGATGAGTATGAAGACTTTACGGCTAAAAGAAAATGAATTCTATGTGGACTAAGCAGTTGTTTCAAGTTTGGCAATAATAATAACACTGAAATCATGAGTGAATCATTCTTAGACCACCATTAGAAACCTGGAAGCACTGGATGGTCGCTTCATCCTGGTATGAAATTCATCAGTAGTGCGCATACACGACTCCTGCACCTAGCAGGATTCGAATCCGGGACCTCCGGTCTTGCGCGCAAACGGCCAAACCCTAAACCACCTGGCCAGCATTTAGTAGAGTTAATGTCTAACTCTGATCAATCTGGGAATTTCGCGCGACCTCACTCATTTGTCTTCGGTAGTTGCCACCTACAGCCGATAGATTTGAGCTCAACTGGTCACATCTTCTCACTAAAATTCCAAGAATTTCCTCACGAAGCTAGTCACTAGTGAGCACATTGTACAATTTTTCATTGTCGAGTTTAGAGATTGTTCTTTATTACGGAAATCATGAATCAGTCATTGTTGAGCGGTATGTAAGAACCGTGATAAATATGCAAGTCACAGGCAAAATAAAATTTTTTTACCCAAAATATAACTTATGATATGAATTCGAACTAACTAGTATTATTATGAATCGAGGGTTGAATGTACCGAATGAGAATGCAAGTTGGATTACTTAGTGTTGATCTAGAAAAGTACTTTTATATAGAATCCGTCAAATTAATTACCTTTTTACCTATTATTCAAAACCTCATGTTAAAAGTGGAATGACCCTTTCACTCATAAGTGCCATTCGATGTTTATACGTGACTTTCTTTATACACTAATTATAATGAATTTACATTGACTTGTGTAGTCAGATACCTGTAGAATGATATTTAAAATGTGAACAAAGAGTTCTGAGTGAAGTACGTAATGGTAATGCTGTCTAGAATGATAAGGTGACATTTGCAATTAAATCATATTAGCTTAAAAGATGCACTTTGTTAATTTGTTTGAAAATTTAGTTAACAAATTAACAGAGACTATGTAACATGAATTTTCAATTCCATCACTAATCATCAAATCGAATTTTTTTTACCATATGAAGGCGATAAAAATAATCAGTCTGAGAATTGTCGATTACATTAAATGAATTCGCATTACGGGGTTGTGAAAATTGTTAAGTTACACATTTTTGAAACCATGAATCGATCAATGTTAGACCACCATTAGAAACCTGGTATGAGACTCCTCAGCAGTGAGCATCCACGACTCCTGCACCCCGCGGGATTCGAGCCCAAGACCTTCGGTATTGAGGAGTCCCATACCAGGACGAAACGGCCGTCTTTCAGTGCTTCCAGGTTTCTAATGGTGGTCTAACATTGATCGATTCATGGTTTCAAAAATTAAATGAGTTATAATAAACATTTCAATAAAAATAACCCCATATCAGTCAATTATTGTCTAATTCATAGAGAAACACCCGAGAACGATGATTCAACATAGAGAGTTGTCATAATGAATACCGAAACGATTTATTTATTCAATTACATTAAACAACAGTCCATATTTTACAACAATAATTCAACTTACAATATTTGATCCAGTCACATTATTCAAATCTGACATATTGAAATGATCAAACACAATAGCGATTGAGCACTTTTAAGGTATTTTTTTATTCCCTTGGATTACTTTCCAATCACACGTATTAAAACAAAACGAAAAAAAAAGTAGCACCAGATGACAATGACCTATTGTTTTGATTGGTTGATTTTTGTGAAATATTGATTGATCTACTTAAATAATGAATAGTAAATAATAAGTAGTAATAATATTAATAATAATAATAATAAAAATCCACATGATTATAATGTGTGTTTCAGTTAAATTTTATTTTTTCAGTCACATTTTCTAAGAGAAAAATTTCAGTGAAATATTTTGAAAACTTAACTCAACTTGTTTTGTACCTTTGGTGAAAAAAAATCGAATATTTAATCAGTGAATAAATTGATAGTATCATTATTATTCTTCTGTTGTTGATGAAATAATTAACATGTGATAAAAAAGTGCACTACATTCTTGATTTGATAAAAAGAATTTGTCACTTTTTTTCAAAAGCTGGATTTTAGCAACAACAACAACTACAAGTTATACTACAACTTGTGATGTATATCAACCAACTGACATAATAAGTCTAGACTGTTGTATGAGTTGATTGTAAAATCAGATTCCATTCTGTTAATGATTTTGAATGGTATGAATTGAAATCGGTGTCAACGACTTGATTCTATTCATTCAATCAGTATCTTCTTGTAAGCTTGTAAGTGTGATCTGCGTGTCGTCAGCGTTATGTTTGAGGCGAGCACCTCTATTACTGTCCGCGTAAGTTATCGCTGTTACGTACATAAGGACTCCGTTAGATTTGCAGTCTTGTTGATTATACCTGACAATGTGCAACAACTGAGATGTTTAATGAGAACATGAAAGTCTGGTACAATAAAGATTTTGTTGACGCCTCTAAACCATATTCTTAAACAAGTCACAATAATCATGTCGTTACTAGACTTAAAATACAATCCTTTAAGTGGTAATTTTTACATACAAATACATAATTACTATAACGACATAAATTGAATATTGTTCACCTAAAATGATATAGAGGATATAATTTTCACATTGTAGGTAAATTTATAATTATCAATCAGACCGAAGCTCATTACCGATTAGTTCAGAAAATAACAACCTAATAGCAGCATCATCATAATTCATTTATTTTCCTGTACATTAGTTCCTTTTCATTTAGTTTTCTTAAGTTTATTTATTTTACAGCATTGATGTTCCTAACTTCCCTTTTCAATCATGTTCATCTATACTCTTTGTATACTGTGGTATGAGACGTGACATCAACAAGCAATGTTCGTCTGTTCCAAGTTTTCGATGGTTACAACATACTAAATTCAATATATCGAAACTAGGTTTTGACATATTTATCTGTTGTTTTAGTAAACTCTATTTTTACTGCATGAATAACTAATCAAATAATTTATTACATTAGTGGATGTAGGATCCAAACTGAGATTTGGATTGAGGAATAGCTGTCCAGGTAGTTTAGATACGCGTCTTGCTCAGTTGATATCAAAACAAAAGATTTGGGTAAATAACGGTTCTACTAATCATCATAAATATAAATTTACATCATTACCTAAACAAATATTACCAGTCAGTTATCCCATCAATAATTGTTCAATTATTCAAATAAATGATATTCTATCCCTCCTGGATTGATCAGATTCGTTCGACAGATAATATTTGGTTGCTTAATAACACAGAGTGTTTCCAATTCTGGAAGAGTGCTTCAATTCACAATCAAAATGCACAATTCCAGTCAAACCAAGCAATCCAATTAAAAGAGGAACAAATCAATATGGCTGTCGCCATGACTAAGTATCTGTCTAAACAACATAAATTCAGTTCAGTTCAGAAAGAAACATAGAAACTCAGTGAAGGTAAAAGAAATAGAAACTGTAATAAAATACAAATATTATCATCTCAAAATGGAATCAAACAGACTAACAAAATGTACAACTGAAGGAATGAATAACGACACAATACAAATGTATACATGGAGGAATTTTCACAAACAAAGCCTTCAAAAATGAATCTTACATTAGATAGTATTGAATGTAGTCAGTTCTAATTTGAAAAACTCACAAAAACCATTTAAATGAAATGGTGCTCTTTGACATTGATGAAATGCGAAAAATTACATATTGGTACGATATGTTATTGAGGGGAATAAACAACTCTACTTATTAATGTTATGCAAATTCTGACAGAGTAAACTGGAACGAGAGAGATCACATTAATCGTACGAAAAATGTTTTCTCAGAAAATATTTCCTAGTAGAAACTTCTCTGAACGCATGTTTTCAAATATATTTTTAATGAATCAAATCTTCGTTTGGGTGAAAATAGAAATTTTGAAAAAACCGATGTACATAATGACACTTTGTTCTTTATTCATTGATGTATATCAATCAAAATTATTTATTGAATTTTATTTCATAATCCCTATATTTAGTCAAACGGGTATCGTTTATAGAATCGAAGGAATGTAATTTAGTAATGGATAGATTTTCATCGATGCATAAAAGATTAGTAATTCACAAATTTGAAATGTTAAACGTTTTTCTACAAAAATCAAACGAATAGTTAGTAGTATGTTTTGTTTGGACAAGATGTGTTATTAATCAAAGTAAATCATACTAATTTAGACGTTACTGCAAGTATATATATCTTTACAAATCTTTCTGAGACTTGTGATTCCGATAGCATAAGACAAATTGACTTTGATTTATGTAACGTATTATCAGCAGTTATTGAACATATAAAACTAGTTACTTTCTGAGTTTGTAAAACAAGACAGTATATTAACAATATCAAGAATCAGTTGTCTTGTAACTTTTATCTATTGTATGTTAAATAATAAAACTTTTCTCTTTTCATGATATTGTAAATCAATCTTTTCTAATTCATCTCGAATATCATCTGTCAATAATATTCGACTTTCTTTCAAATATGTATTGATTATAAGAAGAGTGTAAGCTTATTCACTTCAATCGAATAATCATATATTATGTGGACGAATTTCAGATTATTATCATGGTTATGTCTTATTGAATTCATACGGCAATAATTACCCACGATTCATATCTTCGAACCCTAATCTTCTGCATTACTGTTAATAATTCTGCTATCGCTATCACTATTGGATTTGAATTGACAGTTGCGTCTCTGTGCTAATGTGGTATGGCAACCTGAACTGATGTACGTACGTCGGAAGTTCTACGCTGTGATTGATTGACTGACTGGCTGACTGAACCAACCATGAGTAATGTAGAATCAACGAAAAAGTGGAAAGAACCCATTCACTGATTAGTGAATTGTTCGTTCATCTTAATCGTGAGAATTAATTATAAATTTTTGAATTGAATTGCTGGAAGTAGTATGTACATGCATAATAAACCACTATTCCAATTTTTTTTCAATCAACAAGCTAACGATTGCATTAACGCTGACTGTTTCAAATAGAATAACTCTTTTTATAACAATGAGATCTTGTCATGCAGTAAATTCCAACTGATTATCATTAGTGACTGAATAACTGTTATGTTCGTCACTTGGTATGCTTGAAGCTATTACGAGTTCACCTTAGTCAATAAAACGCGGACGAGACAATGAACCAGCTTCCAGATGGGCTACCCTGAATCGCAAGCTGTAAACAGAAGGCTTGGTAAGCGTAGAAAGTATATTCTATAAACACCCAGCAATCACACAATACAATCAAGCATACAACTCTCGTTTAATTATACATCATAGAAACGTCCTTGGGAGAGTTACGAAAATATCACACTAAAATACACACACAGCAGTCAATCACAGCCATGGATTTTCCTGGTGGGAAATGAAATCTCAAGGTCAACTGATTAATCCATGCCCGTAAACGTCAAATCCAAAATAAGTCATTTATCAAGCGAGTTCTGGGGATCTAACATCCCCAACAATAACAGAAATGATATTATTTATCATTTGAAAAAAAGAGACTTTTAAATCTATACAGAAATATCAAACATTGTGTTTGATTGAAAAGAAAATTCCTACTTCTCTCTATTCAAATTGACTAAAAATGAATAGAATGGACTTATTTTTCGTGAAAAATATATCTAGTTAGTCATACTACCACTAAGAAATAAAACCTTCGGTTAACTGATTATATCAGTTTTGCTTATAATTTTGTGGCGGTGTTTCATTCTCTGAGCTGGATGGTGTTTTGGTTGTGAAGCTCTCATTGTTTTTCATCTGAACAACATCATCGACACAAACTTCAGATGGACTTCTATTTGAAATTTGTTCCAATGATGTTATTCAGAAGAACAATGAAAACTTCACAACCAAAGCATCCAGCTCAGAGAATGAAACACCACTACAATCATCCACCTGAGCTACAAATTTTCTCCACCATGTTTTTACATTTTCGATGAAAAACGTTTGTTTCCAGTCATCTCTCCAACGGTGATCATCTTCTAGGATTGAAGTTATTTTTTTAACAGTTTAAAAGTAACAATAATGCGCTTATTATGCTTAATAGTAGGTACACTAACTATAGTTTCAGGTTTTATTATTATCACTATTATTATAGTTATTATTGCCAAATACGAAACCGTTTTAACATTTTAACGTCACTATGTATGTTTGAATCATAGTTCTTTTTTGATATTCTTTGACAGAATTTTCTCTTGGCCATTTATTCGCCGCACTACAAAATACCTTGTTTTATTTCTACCTAGTTGATATAAATCACTGACGAAAAAACATCACTTAAATCATACAGTTATGACAGTTAGTTATCAATCACTCCATTTTTTGATTGATTGTCAATCATTTTTCGGCTTTTAAAATAAAATGATTTCTAAATAATATTACATCGATGGAGAAAGAAACTATTTCTTCGTTTGAAATTATTTGACATGATGTGATATATTTAAAATTTATCTGCAGTAAATATTGTAGTACCGCCATATATACCTTTCAGTTTGTTCTTATTTGATTTTATTAAACTCTTTTAATTCACTTATATAGCTGAGTCATTTGTATAGCAATAACTTATATATTTACCATTGGCGGCTTTGATTATTGTCTAGTCTGTATGAGCTGGTGGCATGATTGAACATTGCTTTCCGCCTACATACGTACATATTCATTTTATTCGCTTTAATGTTAGCGCTCTT